ACATGGGGCCACAGTCAACATGGGGCCATCGGTTACTTGAGGCCAAGGTCCCTGAAGACCCATGGGCCACGTGGACCATGGGCCACAGGTTGTCATGGGCTCTGCCATGGGCCACCCAACGCCCTGGACTAGGAAGCATCGATGGCCAGGGAGGAGATAGCGTGGTCATGGGGACCATGACGTGGCTTTAGGGGACATGGTGGGGTCATGGGGACCATGGCGTGGCCAGGGAGGAGATAGCGTGGTCATGGGGACAATGATGTGGCTATGGGGGACGTGGTGGGGTCATGGGGACCATGCCTGGGCCAGCCTGAACCTGGGGGCCTTGATCTGCATCGAGTGCTCGGGCATCCACCGCAACCTGGGCACCCACCTCTCCCGCGTCCGCTCCCTCGACCTGGACGACTGGCCCCGGGAGCTGACGCTGGTCCTCACCTCCATCGGCAACGCCACCGCCAACAGCATCTGGGAGAAGAACCCCCAGGGCCGCTGCAAGCCCACCCACGAGTCATCCCGGTGGGTGCCCCCCAGCTTCCTCTCCCCACCAACCACCTCCCCAGATGCCACGTAGTCCCACCATAGGAATTATGTGGCCACGGGAATTGTGGGATGACCATGGGACTCGTGCGGTGGCCAAGGGGCTGATGGGGTGGCCATGGGACTGATGGGGTGGCCAAGGGACTGACGGGGTGGCCATGGGACTGATGGATTGGCCATGGGACTGATGGGGTGGCCAAGGGGCTGATGGGGTGGCCATGGGACTGATGGGGTGGCCATGGGACTCATGTGGTGGCCAAGGGACTGATGGGGTGGCCATGGGACTGATGGGGTGGCCATGGGAATTATGTGGCCACAGGAATTGTGGGATGACCATGGGACTTGTGGGGTGGCCATGGGCATTAGGTGTCCATGGGACTCATTGGGTGGCCATGGGACTTGTGGGGTGGCCATGGGAATTATGTGTGTCCCCCCCCGGCCCAGGGAGGAGCGGGAGTCGTGGATTCGGGCCAAGTACGAGCAGCGGCTCTTCCTGGCACCGCTGCCGCCGGCCGAGGCCCCGCTGGGGGAGCAGCTCTTCTGCGCGGTGCAGGAGAAGGACCTGGAGACGGTGCTGCTGCTCCTGGCCCACAGCAAGAAGGAGCAGCTCAACGTCAGCCCCGGGGACAAGGACCGGCGCACGGCGCTGCACGTGGCCTGCGACATGGCCCTGGTGGTCATCACCCAGCTGCTGGTGTGGGTAGGTGGGGGCGAAGGGGGGTGGTGGCAGGGGCTGGGGGGGACCATGGGGAGACTGTGGGGCAACGGAATGGTTATGGGGAGCATGGTATGGCCAGGGAGGAGATAGCGTGGTCATGGGGACCATGACGTGGCTTTAGGGGACATGGTGGGGTCATGGGGACCATGGCGTGGCCAGGGAGGAGATAGCGTGGTCATGGGGACAATGATGTGGCTATGGGGGACGTGGTGGGGTCATGGGGACCATGGCGTGGCTCTGGGGGACGTGGTGGGGTCATGGGGACCATGACATGGTCAGGGAGGAGATAGCGTGTCATGGGGACCATGACGTGGCTTTGGGGGACGTGGTGGGGTCATGGGGACCATGGCGTGGCCAGGGAGGAGATAGCGTGGTCATGGGGACAATGATGTGGCTATGGGGGACGTGGTGGGGTCATGGGGACCATGGCGTGGCTCTGGGGGACGTGGTGGGGTCATGGGGACCATGACATGGTCAGGGAGGAGATAGCGTGTCATGGGGACCATGACGTGGCTTTGGGGGACGTGGCATGGCCATGGGGGATGTGGCATGGTCACGGGAATCATGGGGTGGCCACAGGACTTGTGGGGTGGCCATGGGACCGAGGAGATGGCTGTGGGAATTATGTGCCCATGGGAATTATGGGGTGGCCAGGAGAATCATGGGGTGGCCATGGGAATCATGGGGTGGCCATGGGACTCATGGGATGGCCATGGGCATCTTGGGGTGGCCATGGGCATTAGGTGGCCATGGGAATCATGGGGTGGCCACAGGATTGATGGGGCGGTCACAGGACTCGTGGGATGGCCGTGGGCATTAGGTGGCCAGGGGAATCAAGGGGTGGCCACAGAACTGATGGGGTGGCCATGGGCATTAGGTGGCCACGGGGAGGCACATGCCACCACCAGGGGAGAGCCGGTGGCCCATCCAGGAGGGTGGGGAGGGGAGACAGCGTGGCTACCGGCCCCCACCCCACGGCTAGCTGGTGGCCGGTGGAGGGGGGGTGGCAAGTAACGTGCCACCTCGGTTGCCCGCAGTACGGGGCCGACGTGCGGGCGCGGGACGGGCACGGCCGGACGGCTCTTTTCTACGCCCGCCGGGCCGGGAGCCAGGAGTGCGCCGAAATCCTCCTGCAACACGGTTGCCCCGGGGAGGGACCTGGTGGCCCGGCCACCCCCGGCATCCGCCGCAAGAGCAGCTGCGCCAGCGTGGGGCCCTGCGAGCCACGGACGGCCCTGGTATAGCCAGCGAGGGGCCCGGTGCCCGCTCGGTAGCCC